TGTTCCCTTTTGACCACATACCCACCAGCATGTTATTGTTAGTTTTCTTAATAGATAATCTTACTGGGAAGAGGTAGAATTTCAATGTTGTTTTGATTTGCATTTCTTTTATGGCCAGAGATGTTGGACATTTCTTCATATGTCTATTAAGCCATTCTTATGTCTTTTGAGAAGTCTCTAGCTCTTTAGCCCACTTATTAATTGGGTAGTTGTTTCTTTGAGAGGTTATGGGGGTGCTAATTTTTTGAGCTCTAAGTATATTTTAGATACAAGGCCCTTGTCCGATGCAAAACTGGAAGAAAAAAAAAACAACTCCCATTCTGTGGGTTTTCTATTTATCTTGCTACGTCCTTTGCCATGAAGAAACTCTTCAGTTTGATGCAATCCATTTATCAAGTCTGTGATTTGTTGTGATTCTGGATCTTAGGAAGTTTTGACCTGTGCCTAGGAGCCCTAGTGTTTCCTGTAATATTTTCATGATATCTGGCTTTACATCAAGGTCTTTGATCCACTTAGAATTGATTCTGGTATGCAGTGATACATAAGGATCTAGTTTCAGTTTTCTGTATGTGTATAGCCAGTTCTACCAGCATTTGTTGAAGAGGCTTTCTTCCAACCTGTGTTTTGGGCTCCTTCATCAAATATTAGGTGACTACAGTTCGGTGAGCTCATTTCTGGGTCTTCTGTTCCATTGGTCCTTGGGCCTATTCTTGTGCCAGTACCACGCTGTTATTATTATGGCTTTATAAGAGAGTTGGATGAATGGCTCCAGAAAATGTGGTATGTATATACAACTGAATTCTATGCTTCCATCAGAAAGATCATTTGTAAAGAAATGGAAGGGCTGGGAAGATGGCTCAGTGGTAGAGCGCTTGCCTTGCATGCCTGAGGCCCTGGGTTCGATTCCTCAGCACCACATAAGCAAAAAGAAAAAAGCCGGAAGTGGCGCTGTGGCTCAAGTGGTAGAGCGCTAGCCTTGAGCTGAAGAGCTGAGGGACAGCACCCAGGCCCAGAGTTCAGGCCCCATGACCGGACCCAAAAAAAAAAAAAAAAAAAGAAATGGAAGGACTTGGAAAAAATTAAGTAAGCCAGACCTAAAGAAACAGGTTGCATGGGTTCCCTCATTTGTTGTAAAACTAGAATGTGCCTATAAGTCTACACAGACACACTGGATGGTAAAAGACCAAAAAAAAATACACTTGGACATAATAAATTATACAGGACTCTAGACATCCACACAGTGAGAACAACAGAGGATATTCTTAGGAGAGGTTCACAAAGATTCAATAGCAATGTGATCATGTAAAATGATATTTATCAAAATGAACTCTTAAGAAATGGAATCCAGAGGTTTTTTCTTTTTCTCCTTTGTTGCCATTTTTGTTTTCTGTACCTTTTGTCTTGTATGCAAGTTTATCTGTTTTGGGAAGAGTAAGGGGGAAGAAATGGTGGGACTAAGGGCGAACAAATGCAGCAGTGATATTCACTAGGCACTATGTTGAAATGAGGTATACAACTTATGGAGTAGTCAGGAGGGAAAAACTGGGAGAAAGTGAGGGAAGGAAGGGGTGACACTGTACAAAAACAAATGTACTCATTACTTGACTTATGTAACTGTAATCCCTCTGTAATGATAAAAAAAATTGAGAACCTAGAAGTAAAAATTATTATAATAACGAAAAACATTGTTTTCCATAAAATGTAAAAAAAGAGATGAGCATATTTTGGGATGCACTTGTGGAACTGAATCTCATAAGGCTTGGTGACTACTTGTTTTTTTGCTAGGTATTTAACTGATACTGTTGGTCACTGATGTAATTCAGGTAGGATGAGATGGAAAGAAAAAGGGTTGGGGTGATGAGCGTTCTTAAATGAATAAAACCTTTGGAGGTGACTTCTGTTTTACAAGTATGTACTTTGAAATACCGTTGGTAAAGGATGGAAGGAGTGACATTGAACAAGACACATTTTACTTGTAAATTGCCATGATAAAATGAAACCCTTTTGCATGACACTTAAAGATATTTTTTTAAAAAAGAAAACAAACATTAAGCTGAATGTGGTGGCACATGCCTATATCTCAGCATTTGGGCATGAGGCCAAGAAGGTAATCTAAGGCCAAGAGTTTAAAACCAGCCAGAGCAACACAATCAATCACATGGTCTATAATAAGTTCATATTGTAGCAGAATAGCAGAATTTTGTTTTAGATAGTAATATGGAGGTACTGGAGAAAAAGTGGTCTTTCAGAGTTCTCATGTCTGTTTAGCTGTTCAAAGTTGAGCTTTGTATTAAAACGTACCAGTATTTTTTAAATGAAAACATGCCTTTTGTTGTACAGACTATTTTATGACCTTTGTATTTTCTTAGTAATGCAATAAATGGAAAAAATTCTAAAGCCCTTGCTAAAATCTTATTTGACTTTTAAACATCAACCATATTCTCTTAATATTTATAGCATTTCCCTTAACAAGGAAATGCTCCAAACATTTCTTAGAAACATTAAATTTTATGGAGAACTGAAGTGACTTTAAAGACCTTTTTTGGGGTGTGGGGGAGCCTTATACAACAGAAAATTTCTTTTACAGAAGGTAGAAGTCGGCAGGGCACAAGTATGGTTGTTTCTTAGAGGCATTCTTGGCTTGCAGATGGCTGCTCTCAGCATCTCACATGATGAGAAAAGGGAGAGAAAAAAATTTTAATTGAAAAATTTTGAAATTTTATATCCTTTGACCAGTATTCTCCTCCGTTCTTCTCATCTGCACACCAATCCTCCAAGCCCAGAAAACAACCATTCCACTCTCTGCTTCCATTGAGCTCAACTTTTTTAGACTCCACATATAAATAATGATGAAGTATCTGTCTTTTTGTGCCTTGATTATTTTACTTCTCACAGTCTTCCAGGTTTACCTATGTTGTTAGAAGTGACAGGATTTCCTTTTCATAACTGAATGTGTACTATGTACCACATTTTTATCTTTTTAATGTGCTGTGAACTTGTTTTTAGTATTTAGATTTTTTTCCCAACTGGACATATGGCTTAGCTGTATAGTTTGCCTAACAAATTCAAAGCCCAGAGTTCAAACCCAAATACCACATCGCCCCCCCCAAAAAAATGATTTTTTTTAATCTATGTTAATCCAAGACAATGGTTTGAAATTCTTTTTTAGTAATGTCTGGCTTTGGTATCAGAGTGAGGATAATATTGTAAAAGTATTATTCCTCTTCATTTTCTTTGGAAAAATTTGAGAAACATTGGTATTGCATCTTCTTTGTATGACAGAATTTATCAGGTGTTAGGCTTTCTACTTTTTTTAAATGGGAGATTATTCGCAACTCAATCTCAATTAATTATTGGTCTGTCCAGATTTTATTTATCTCAATGATGTGATCTTGGTAGATTGTATGTATCTAGGAATTGATCCATTTCTTCTTCTAGGTTATGTACTTCATAAACATACAAAGTTTTTGGTAGTCTCTGGTGATTCTTGTATTTGTTATATTAATGTTTTTTAATATTCCTCTTTTTCTGCCTGACTCTTTCCCTTTCTGAACAATTTAGGATAAAAGCCATTTGCTTGTTCTATGAACTACTTAATATTATCTGTTCTGCCTAAAGACCTACATTAATTTTTAATCACTTGTGTCTCGTATGAACATTTAAAATAAGTATTTATACCTGTTTACTCTTTGCTTAAATTTTGTATATCATGAAAATAGTTTGCTAAAGAAATTCTCAATTTTTTCATATTTCACGCCCACTAGGTTTTTTGCTTTGTTTTGTTTTGTTAATCTTGGGGCTTGAACTCTGGGCCTGACCACTCTCCTTCAACTCTTCAGCTCAAGGCTAGCACTCTACCAGTTGAGCCAGAGGGCCACTTCCACTTTTCGGGTGGTTTATTGGAGATAAGTGTTTCATGGCCTTTCCTGCCTGGCTGGCTTTGAACCACGATCCTCAGATCTCAGCCTCCTGAGTAGCTAGGATTACAGGCGTGAGCTACTGGTGCCTGGCCCACTAGATTTTTTTCCCCAAATATACTCATTTTTTTTATAAACATACAGAAGACTGTCCTAAATTACTTGAATCTCCTTTGTAAAAACCTCTCAAAACTGAGAAATATCCAGTTTTTACATTTTCATCAGTTTATTTCTGGTATTATTCTTATCTGTTATTGGAATCAGGAATGTTTGGTATAATTCATATATTATTAATCACATAGTTTCAAATTAGTAAGCTTTTTCATGTTGATTAAAACAATTTTCCTAATGCCTAAAGTCAATCTTTGTGTTTATGAACTTTGTTTAGAGATGAAAAAATAGTTGTCAAACACTGTCCTAGTCACATATCCTAAAAAAAATAGCAAAAAAAATTAGCTGATGGAAATTACACTTAAATCTGAAATTTTAGTGAGCCTTTCTAAAAATTTGCTCAATGACATATTTTCTGTAGATTACTATATTTAATATTTTCCGTCATGCTATTAATCATCTTATTAATAAATAATTGAGAATTTTATAAAAAAATATTTTCCCCTCTCCCCCTTTTGGTTCCTCAGTAACTACGTTCCAAAAGTCAGTGTTCATGCCGTGTAACTGGGATCCTCAGATGTCTCCATCACAATAGGTGATGATAAGAATATATCAGAAAGGATTCTAGAGACTTAACTCATCAGTTCTAGTTCTGAATATGGAAGTAGCTAACAATTTTAGGTGTGATTTAACTTTTTATTCTTTGGTTTCCATATTTAGAGAACCTGTCTATTATTAAAAATCTTATACCTGGGCTGGGAAGGTGGCTCAGTGGTAGAGCGCTTGCCTTGCATGCCTGAGGCCCTGGGTTCGATTCCTCAGCACCACATAAGCAAAAAGAAAAAAGCCGGAAGTGGTGCTTGTGGCTCAAGTGGTAGAGTGCTAGCTTTGATCTGAAGAGCTGAGGGACAGCGCCCAGGCCCAGAGTTCAGGCCGCACGACCGGACCCCCCAAAAAAAAAAATCTTATACCTTTCCACTTCAAAATGATTCCAATTTCTCTTTGTTTAGTATCTCAAATTCTCAACTCTGAGACAAAAGTTATCAAAGGCACTTGTTTTCCTTATTTAAGAGATTTATGACTATCTCTTAGCAAGGTACTCCTCAATTCCTAAGGTTCACTTTCTCTCCACAGGAGAAATGTACAGACCATTTTAGCATACCAAAATAGTAACCTGAAGTTATTAAGATTTGTGACAGATTATACCCCAAAGTACTCTCATTGGTAACAGCTTCCTTGAAGCTTATCAGGTAAAAAAATTAATGATGTCAGGTTTGAACTTTGTATTTCAGAATATTATAGATTATGTTTCATAAATCTGATGGTAACTTTAATTCAGGTAATTTAAAATTTTTTGGAACATGATTTTTAAAGGTAGTATATCTCCTGTGGAAGAAATCTTGCTGAGAGAAATTACAATTTCTGAGATCAACAGAGTATTTTGTGAGTACCTCTTTGAGTGAATTAAGAGGAAATGGTTTCATTACTCATAGTTTGATTTGTGGGAGAGAGAATGAGAAAAATTTTAAGACATTCTTAGAACAATTCAACACAAAATATACATATATGTAAATCCTGAGATGTTATAACAGATTTTAAAACAGATCAACATGATCTAAATGGTTTCCAAGACACCGTTATGGAGGGTCAACAGCCATTTTCCAGGATGTCCACATTATGACAGGAAATCTCTTTGTCGTGTTCAAAATTAAGTCAATCATCCAGAGCAGGTGGCCAGTCAACATCTACAGACTAGAAGAGACAAAACAGTAATTAAAACAAATATTCTGGTGTCACCATATGATAATAGTTTCAATATAATGCAACAGAAGAAATTAGATTTGATGGAAAGAGGTACTGAATTTAATACTTAAGTTCATAGCAGAAATATTTGGCTGGGGCTGGGAAGGTGGCTCAGTGGTAGAATGCATGCCTGGCATACCAGAGGCCCTGGGTTCGATGCCTCAGCACCACATTAGCAAAAAGAAAAAAGCTGGAAGTGGCGCTGTTGCTCAAGTGGTAGAGTGCTAGCCTTGAGCTGAAGAGCTAAGGGACAGCGCCCAGGCCCAGAGTTCAGGCCCCATGACAGGACCCCAAAAAAAAAAAAAAAAGAAAAGAAATATTTGGCTGGTCTGTTTCTGAATGAACTAGCAATATTTGATTATTTGTCTAGTTAGTAATTGTATCTCTTGGGCTGGGAAGGTGGCTCAGTGGTAGAGCACGTGCCTTGCATGCCTGAGGCCCTGGGTTCGATTCCTCAGCACCACATAAGCAAAAAGAAAAAAGCTGGAAGTGGCGCTGTGGCTCAAGTGGTAGAGCGATAGCCTTGAGCTGAAGAGCTGAGGGACAGCGCCCAGGCCCAGAGTTCAGGCCCCACGACCGGACCCCCCCACAAAAAAAGTAATTGTATCTCTTGATTAATAAGACAATAGAATACACTTTCCATAAGCATTCAAATTCAGATAATCATACCAGTTTTTCCTCAGAAGATTTAACAACTTTTCTTCTAATCACTTTCCTTCAGCTTTATATTTAAGAAATCTAGTCATGAGTCATTTAACAATCATGCTATACTTCTGAGAAATGCATTATGATTTCATCACTGTAAACTGAGGACTTAGTCAGACTAAAGCAGCTATGACATCTCTAAGTGGCACTGTCTTATAAAATCACTATTGACTGGAATAGGATTATGTGGTGCAGGGCTGTACTCAATTGTCTATAAACCAATAGCCTTATTTATAACTTAAGTGACTATGAAACATCTAAAACTGAAAACAAGATCTTTTCACTTCACATTTTTAATCCAATTCATCTCTACCTCTATGTACTTTCATTTTGCTCTTCTAGACTAAAACCTTAAAATAACAACCACTTCACTTTTATCTCCACCTAAACAAATCACACTCCACAAGTGTCAAGGTACACCTTGTCTTAAAATAGAAAACTTATTTTAAGAGAAACCTCTTTAAAAATAAATCCAGCTAGATATTGGTGGCTCACATCTGTAATCCTAGCTACTCAGGAGACTGAGATTTTAGGATTACCATTTGAAGCCAGCTTTTGCAGCAAAGTCTGTAAAACTTATCTCCAACTAACCACAAAAAAAGCTGGAAATGAAGCTGTAGCTCAAGTGGTAGAGTAGTAGCCTTGAGCAAAAAAAGCTAAGAGACAGCTCCCAGGTCCTGAGTTCAAGCCCCAAAACTGGCATGCATGTACACACACACACACACCAAATCCTGAGTTCAAGCCCCAAAACTGGCATGCGTAAACACACACACACACACACACACACACACACACACACACACACACACACACACACACACACACACACACACACACACACACACACACACACACACACACACACACACACACACACACACACACACCAAATCCTAGCTACTCCGGAGGCTGAGATCTGAGGATCACCCTACAAAGCCAGCCCATTCCTTGAGACTCTTATCTCCAATAAACCACCAGAAAACTGGAAGTGACGTTGTAGCTCAAGTGGTAGGGCACTAGCCTTGAGCTGAAGAGCTCAGGGACAGCACCTAAGGCTCAGAGTTCAGGCCCCTACTGACCACCACACAAAAAAATTCAGTGTACCCATGGCTTTTTTGTTGTTGTTGGTTTTGGTTGTTGGTTTTTTTTGTCTCTTGTAGGGCTTGGACTCTGGGCCTGGGCACTGTCCCTCAGCATTTCAGCTCAAGGCTAGTGCCTTACCACTTCTGGCTTTTTCTACTTATGTGGTTCTGAGGAATTGAACGCAGGGCCTCATGCATGCAAGACAAACACTCTTACCACTGAGCCACGGCTTTTATTGATTCTTAAATTCTAAAACATACAACTATTTACTAAAGTATTGTTTTCACTGATCTATTTCACTTTCAGATTAATAAAAATTATTAGTAAAGCCCAAATAACTGTATTTTACAAATCTCAAAAATATAGTTTGGTAATTTTTCAGCACATGGATAGAAAACAACCACCCATATTTATATTGAGTGGTTTCTCAAACAGAAAATTACACATCAGTAATCACAACTGTGTGTTAAGGGCAGGAAGGGTAGGCATAGAGCACTGTTTAAAACTATTAAATGTGAACCCAGAAACTGATAGTTTACACCTATAATCGAGCTACTCAGGAGGCTGAGATCTGAGGATCATGGTTCAAAGCCATTCTAGGCAGGAAAGTCCATGAGACTCATTTCCAATTAACTAGCAACCTGCTGAAAGTGGAACTGTGACTCATGTGGCAGAGAACTAGCCTTGAGCATAAAAGCTCAGGGACAACACCTAGGCCCTCACCATGACCTGGGGTGTGTGTATGGATATATATCTATATCTATATAATATATATCTATATATAATATATATCTATATATATAATATCTATATAATGTATAATATCTATAACATCTATATACAACATCTATATAACATATTATATATTAATACATAATATATATAAATATATAACATTTCATATATACTATATATTATAATATATATTATTAATATTAATATATAGATATATCTATATATACACAATAGATATATCTATATAAAATATATATCTATACATAGACAGATATGTTACAGGTGACCCCAGTGGATAATCAATCCAAGGCTGAAAACCCATTATCTGTGATTCTAACATACGTAAGCTATTCTATAAATAAATGAAAAAAGATGATACAGACTGAGGATGTGATTCAGTGTAGAGTGCTTGCCTAGTATTTGTGAGGCCTTGTTTTCTATCCTCAAAACCCCATCACACACACACGAATGCAGTTAGGATTTTCTTTTCTTGTCTGCCTGCTTGCCTCTCTCTCTCTCTCTCTCTCTCTCTCTCCCTCTCTCTCTCTCTCTCTCTCTCGCCCTCTCTCTCTCTCCTCTTCATTTTTTGCCAGTCCTGGGGCTTGAACTCAGGGCTTGAGTACTCTATCACTTGAGCCACAGCACCACTTCTGGCTTTTTCTGTTTATGTGGTACTAACAAATCGAACCCAGGGTTTCATTCATGCCAGGCAGGCATTCTACCACTTAGCCCCATTTCCAGCCCCTAGGATTTTCTTTAACAGAGGGCTGTCTTCCTTAAAATCACAAGTCTCATTGAAGAGGCTCCCTGCAACCTTGAAGGCATTTCGCTGCTGCACTGCAAGAACTATATAAAATCTAACTGAAAGCACTTGGGAGAACTGGTAAAGTAAGCATGATCATTTCATTGCCATATTGTTTGGTTTTTTTTTTTTTTTTTTTGTCAGTCATGGGGCTTCAACTCTGGGCCTGCGCGCTATCCCTCAGCTCTTCAGTTCAAGGCTAGTTCTCTACCGCTTGAGCCACAGCACCACTTCTGGTTTTCTGAGTGGTTTATTAGAGATAAGAGTCTCAGAGACTTTCCTGCCCAGGCTGGCTCTGAACTGCAATCCTCAGATCTCAGCCTCCAGAGTAGCTAGGATTACAGGAGTGAGCCACCAGTGCCTGGCCTGCCATATTGTTTTTTACATTGGGCAATATAACCACTTCTTAACTTTCAAATTATTCCCTAGTGAAAATCCTAACCTCTCCTAAGATTTTGTGTGGGTGTAAGGGTAGGCAGGAGCTTTCCTCCTAATCAGAATTCCATCAAGAAGCATAAATTTGTGATTCAACATACTAATGCTCAAATGAAAAAAAAAATTAGGGAGAATTACCAAAAAGATACATTGTTCTAATTACTGCAGAATTTAACTTGTCTCAGTTCAAACTTTAAGAGCAGAAAGTGTCATCACACAGGTCACTTACTGAACTGCTTTGAACTACATTATGGAGATCCCTCAAGAATGGTTTTGTTTTATAATGTTCTGTTTTAGACAGGATCTTGCTAACTACTTCAAGCTGGCCTCAAACTCGTGGACCTCCTGTCTCAGTCTCCCAAGTGCTGGGATTATAATCATGTCTTGCTTGAGAATCTCATTTCCTTCTTGTGTCCCAAATACACATTTCTAAGCAAGCTGCTTTAAATTCTTTCTTTTTATTTTTTTGCTGGTACTAGTATTTAAACTCAGAGCCTCACAATCTTGCTTGGCTTGTTAGCTCACAGCTGGCACTCTAATATTGAGTCATGCCTCTAGCATGGTTTTTTGCAAGTTATTTTGAAGATAAAATTTCCTAGATTTTTCTGCCCCGACTGGCTTCGAACTGCAACCTCTGAGACTCAGCCTCCCGAGTACACAAGATTATAGGCATGAGCCACCAATATCTGTCTTGCATTCTTTCTAAGTGCTTTTTGTAAGTCAAGTCATGAACTTTCAGAACTTTAGAAGGCCTTATTTATTCATTAATACACATATGAACATACTTTTTTTTGGCTAAAATTTTTAATAAAATAGGTGTGGAAAGGAACCCTCTAGAGTCCCAAAGGACATTAAACTTTTATTTTCTTTTGTGATTTGAGAGTTCAATCTGAGTTTAATTTGCAAACCAGCAAATGATGGTAACTGATACCAATGAGTAAATTTGCTATGTATTCCACAAGGATCATAAATGTTATCTTAGTCACAGGTGGTGATGTATGCTTATAATTTCTGAGAGACTGAAGCAGGAGGATGGTGAATTCAAGGCCAGCCTGGGCTACATAAAGAAATGTTTCAAAGAAATATAAATATCACCTGATGTGGAAGAAATAGTTGGATTGTCAAAGCTCATAAAATTCACACACTTTATAAACCATGATAATGACAATTTGCCTTGTGAAGGTTAAAATGTGTTTGTGACTTTAAGTACCACTATTCCACAATACTGAAATATGTGAAATTTATGTAATCACCTAATCTCAAAAAAAAAAAGTTTCAAGCAGGAGCCAGTGGCTGATGCCTCTAATCCTAGCTACTAAGGAGGCTGAGATCTGAGGATCACAGTTCAAAGCAAGCCCAGGCAGTAAAGTCTGTGAGACTCTCATCTCCAATTAACCACCAGAAAACCAGAAGTGGCACTGTGGCTCAAGAGGTAGAACACTCACCTTGAGCTGAAGAGCTCAAGGACAGCACCCAGGCCCAGAGTTCAAGCCCCACAACCAACAAAAAGAAAGAGAAAAGAAATATTTCAAAAAACAAACAATAACAATACTAATAAGTTAACAATAATAGTGATACCTTATGTATAAAATAAAAATTCAGATAACAGTCCCTCCCTGCAATACAATGCAGCAGTAAGATTTTTTTAAAAATCATTTTCAGATACTTACTTGTAAAGGTTGTGCTACTTGGTTTAATGTCAAAGGACCTAACTGGTTGAATTTAATTGATATGTGCATCCCACAACAAAACGATTTACCTCCACATCCAGCTCAAGAATGTCTGCAGTCACATTCATCAGAGAGCCAATGTTTGGTTTGGTCCTCCCAAAATCTCCGTGCACAAACTCTTTAATATAGCTGGGGTCTGTTTAAGGAAAGTGAGGATAGCTATGCAATCCCAACTACTGAATGAGATTTTACAAGTGGAAGGGAATTAATAAAGAAAAAAATGTTCTAAAAGGTCATTTCTGAGCTCTGACAGCGGAAGCGTGTGCCTCAGAAAATTAGCTGCGGCCAAGTGGTTCTCAGGCTGGTAGTCACTATTAACCCTGGGACTTGTGTTTACATTAAACATACCAAAAGCCGTGGTTTTTCTTTTCTTTTTCTTTTTTAATAGCTCATCTCAAAATGAGATAAGCCAAGTTTGAGGCTAGAGTATGGCTCAAGTGGTAGAATGCTTGCTTAGTCAACATCCGTTGAATGAGTTAAAACCCATTTCATTCAATCAATCAAAATGTCAAGTTTGGGCATGGATTCTAAAAATTACAGTTCAGTGCTTTTTTAAAAAAAATATAAAAGACAACTTTCTTTGGCACAATTTCCATTTTGTCATCCTTTGGGTCCCATTATTCATTAATTGACAATCTTACCAGATGATAGGATTCCATGGGATCACATACAAAGCAACACCAGAGATGGCTCTCCTTGTAACATAACCCAGTGGAGGCAATTAAGATGAAGGGACAAAGATAATATTAGTTTAGATTTGACAACAGTCCTTTATAAGAATTATAAATAGATTTCAGTACTAGTTGGTTGCTAAAATGAACTTAGTTCTAAAGAACTGGCAGAGTTCAAACCCCACAACTGACAAAAAAAAAAAAATAACAAAAGAACTAAGTTCTTTTTTTTTTTTGTCAGCTGTGGGGCTTGAACTCAGGGCTTGGGGTTGTCCCTCAGCTCTTCAGCTCAAGGCGAGCACTCTACCGCTTGAGCCAGTGCCATTTCTGGGTTTCTAGTGCTTTATTGGAGATAAGAGTCTCACAGACTTTTCTGCCTGAGCTGGCTTTGAACTGTGATCCTCAGATCTCAGCCTCCTAAGTAGCTAGGATTACAGGCGTGAGCCACCGGCACCCGGCCTAAGTTCATATTTTCAAAGGAACAACTTTGTATTTCTTGCACAGGCCTTTAATTTTAGAAGGGAATAATTAATTCTGGAACTTGTCCCTAGTAAGATTATACTAGTAAGAAGGCATTTATCACTTCATGCTAATTGGGTCAAATATACATGTGTGTGTATTTGTGTGTGTGTGTGTGTGTAAATTCACACATATATTTTTGGGTATACATATCCATCGATATATAGGCAATTATATATATTACAGATACACATATGTGTATGTGTATACACATACACAAGCTAAAAAACAAAGCATGAGCTTTAGGATATGGACATTGAAACTCTGAATCCCAAATTTTTCTAATTATAACACAACCAAAATCCTGTAATCTTTGAAAACAGTATAATGTCATGCTAGATGCTGGTGGCTCACAGCTGTAACTCCTAGATATGGAAGAGACTGAGATCTGAGTATCCTGGTTCACAGCTAACCTGGGCCAACAAATCTGGCAGACTCTTATATCCAATTACCCAGCAACAGAATTGAAAGTGTGACTTAAATGGAAGAGTACCATACATGGATGAAAAAGCCAAGTAAGAGCTCAAGTCCCTGAGTTCAAGCCACCTTACCAGCACAGAAAACAAGAAAATGGGACAATGTCAGCACAACTTGACGTAAATGATTAACCAAGTTGATACAGGTCAAATAAATGATATGTAATTTAAGTGTTTTGTTGTTGTTGTTTCACAAGGCAAGTAGAAAAATATTCTGTTGTTCTGGGCCATGTAAAGTAACATTGACTGTGCTGACACATACTTGCATTCCCGGTATCTAAGAGGTTGAAGTAGGAAGATCACCTGAGCCAGGAGTTCACCATGGGCTACACAGTGAGAGCTCATCTCAAAATTTAAAATAAAGTAGCAGCATTCCCTCATGTCACCTGTGTTTAAATGCTTGAAATGCCAGAAAGACCCAAACGTTGTTGTGAAAATACATGGCTTACAAACTCTGTAAGGATAGAGGATTAAGGATTTGGTCGAGCAGTAGACCGACTGCTTAGCAGATGCAATGCCCTGAGTTCAAATCCCAATACTGACCCCCTGGAAAAAAAAATGTGCAGGGGCACAGAAATGGACAAAGGATAAACAAATGCAGCAGTGGTACTCACTAATACTATGATGAAAACAAAATGTACAACGTGTAGGTGGGATAGGAGGGAAAATGTGGACGAGAGAAAGGGGAGGGATAACACTGTCCAAAAAGAAATTCATCCATTACCTGACTTGTGAAATAGTAATCCCTCCGTGTATCACCTTTATAATAATACAAAACTGCAAAAAAAAATTTAGAGAAGTGCAGGTGGAAAATGAGTTAATGAAAGGTATTTTGTGAGTAGATCTATGTGTTAGACATTATGTAAGACACACATTAATTGAAATATAAACCTTAGCAAACACAAATGGGAAAAAAAAACGACCTCAAATAAGCCAAAAGAACGATTCCTCTCTAATATCCTTTTCCTAAGGCCTCCCAGACCAACCTGAACCTGCTTTCTGGGGCGGCAGCAGCACTCCCTATAGGAGTCTGCTTGAGAGCACTGCAAGCAGAGGTGAAAGGATACGTTCCAGCTTGAGTCTTCAGGTAGAGGCGAAAATGATGCTCATCCATGTAGTGCGCCTCCATGGAGTGGATGACACGAGTTCGCACAGCTAAAGGCCTTCGGTGGAGGACCCGCAGAGGTGTTTTCTGGTCAATCTTTAAGTCCTAGAGGAGAACATGACACCTTTCTTAGCTTCTACACTACTACACATAGCTCAGTACAGTGCTTTCTCCGAAGGACTCAAAGGGTTGGAAATAACAAATGCTAGAATCAAGTATCCTCAGTCTCAATGAGACTTCTCATAATTATTCATTTTCTATACCTACAAACCAAACCATCAAAAGAAGGACTTGGGCCTGGCACCAGTGACTCATGCCTTAAAACCTAACTACTCAAGAGGCTGAGATCTGTCTGAGGATAGTGGTTCAGTCAGCCTGGGCAGGAATGTCTGTAAGACTCTTATCTCCAATTAACCACCAAAAAAAGCCAAGAGTAAAGCTCAAGTGATAGAGTGCTAGCTTTGAGCAAAAAGCTAAGGGACAATACCTAGACCCTGAGGTTCAAGCCCCAGTAGCAACACACACACACACACACACACACACACACACACACACACACACACACACACACACACACACACACACACACACACACACACACACACACACACACACACGGAAGTAAATGATCCTGAAGGCCTCTTCTGCTCTAATATTTAAAAAATCAGTTAGGACCTTGTAGTTCTATCTTGCCATCAAGAGTTCTTCTAGGGCTGGGAAGGTGGCTCAGTGGTAGAGCGCTTGCCTTGCATGCATGAGGCCCTGGGTTCGATTCCTCAGCACCACATAAGCAAAAAGAAAGAAGCCGGAAGTGGCGCTGTGGCTCAAGTGGTAGAGCGCTAGCCTTGAGCTGAAGAGCTGAGTGACAGCGCCCAGGCCCAGAGTTCAGGCCACCAAAAAAAAAAAAAAAAAAGAGTTCTTCTAGAGGGTGATATGCTCACCTTTTTTTTTCTAACTCAATAGTGACCTCACAGTAAGGAAATGGCAGGGTACAGGGATGCACCTCAGTGCCACTTGTGCAGGTGGCAGTGTGCATGTTCTAGGAAGAATATGTACCTATATTCAATGTTATTTTCATCTTTGATATATATATACAAAAGATGAATCATTGCCTGTTAGCTCAACATTTTAAAGATAAAAGCTTATTTTTCCTCATAGTTCAAATGAAGAGAATTTTCTGCTTCCAGATTTAAATTAAGTTAATACTGTAAAAGATCAACTCATAAAAAATTGTTTATAAAAAAAAGATCATTTTGTTTCAAAAACAAATATCATGCATAACCAGAAAGGTAGTTCAGAAGAACATTAAACTCTCTGCAATTTCTTGTTGGAACAACTCTTCTTAATTTACATGACAGTGAGTGCCCTGAAGCACTGCTAAGAAAAGACAGCTTTCAATCTGGTCTCAAATCAGGTTCTCCTATAAGAAATAAAGAGCAAGTTCAGACTGATCACACTTGAAAGGGTGTTACAGCTTCTATTAGAGTAGCCAGGATTTAAATCCTCCTAAGTCTGACTTTTATGATTCTATAATGCTTTGATTTTATAAGTATTTTAAGGTGATGAATTGTTTGCACAGACTTGACTCTTTTTCTGGCCAAAAAGATAATTAATTAGAAAATAAAGGACCAGGCCAAATGAAGAGCTGGGCACATGGTTTAAGGGGTAGAGTGCTTGCTTACCTAGCAAGTATGAATGAATGGGGATCTAACTAAAACCCCAGTAACACAAAACAAACAAACAAACACCTAATAATAGGAGCTTGAGGCAGGAGGACCTTGAGTTCAAGGCCAACCCGGCCTATACAGCAAAACCCTGTCTCAAAAATTAAAACAAGCTGGGTGCCGGTGGCTCAGTTCTGTAATCCTAGTTGCTCAGGAGGCTGAGATCTGAGGACCACAGTTCAAAGCCAACCTGGGTAGGAAAGTCCAGGAGACTCTTATCTATAATAAACTACTCAAAAAAAGGTGGAAGTTGTGCTATGTCTCAAGTGGTATTCGCTAGCCTTGAGCAAAAGGAACTCAAGGACAGTGCACAGGCCCAGAATTCAAGTCCCAGGACGGTCCAAAAATAAATAAATAAATAAATAAAAATACAACTACACAAAGACTGCACTATTGAAGAATCAAATAAGATAATGGAATCTGATGAGTGCTCTTCCCCAGCTTCTTTCTCTCCTGAGTCACACCAAGTACTGTCACACCCAGGAGCCAGTCGGTCAAGAGAAATAGCAGCAGAGCTATTACACACAAGACTACCACTACTTCCAACACCGTGCCCTTCTTTCTTTTTGGTCTGGTTTAAAGTGAAAAAGAAGAAACTATTTCAGTCACTTTATTTCACTTACATTATACTATAACTATTTCATTTATAATATACCCCATTATCCCAACATTGCTGACTTTTCAAAAACAAATACACAGACTTCTTACATAGAAGCGTTTTTTTTTTTTTTTGGTCAGTCATGGGGCTTGAACTCTGGGCCTAAGCGCTGTCCCTCAGCTCTTCAGCTCAAAGCTAGTGCTCTATCACTTGAGCCACAGTGCCACTTCTGGTTTTCTGGTGGTTTATTGGAGATAGTTTCTCAGCCTTTCCTCCCCTGGCTGGCTCTGAACCATGATCCTCAGCTCTTAGCCTCCTGAGAAGCTAGGATTACAGGCATGAGCCAACGGCACCCAGCTAGAAGTGTATTTTTTTAATGTATGTATTAAAGAAAAAAAGACAGTGAGATAACCCAGCTAGAAGTGTATTTTTTTAATGTATGTATTAAAGAAAAAAAGACAGTGAGATAAGGAGTTAGTGGAGTAGTTCAAGTGGTACAAGTCTGCCTAGCAAGCATTAGGTCCAGAAATGCCAAAAGAGGAGGGAGGAGGGGAAGACAAATGTGAAGTGACTTTTTCTCAGAATGGAGAACTTGCATTTTATTATTTGTATCCCAATAGGAATGCTTGAAAATTAAAAATATTAGTAGAAATCAACAAGTAACATCAGTCCATTTAATCTGTAACTATAAAAATCACCTTCTAGCATTACTTCTGAATTAGCTCTATGGAAATATCCAAACGGAACCTTTTTTCTTCGTAGTGCTGGGGTCAAGCCCAGGGTCTAGGTCAAGATAGGCTCGTGCTCTACCACCACATTTATTTTTAAACATAAACTTACTTTTCCAATAGCATTCTGAATGACTTGTTCATATAAGAAAGGACAAACTTCAGAAATCTGATTTGCAGGATGACATTGATCAAGATGCATTATATCATAAACTGCTTTGTTAAATTGCAACTCCTTTGTATAAGTACTTAAAGATAATAAAACTTTTTTTTTTTTTTGGTCTGTCGTGGGGCTTATACTCTGGGCCTGGGCGCTGTCCCTGCACTCTTCAGCTCAAGGCGAGTGCTCTACCTCTTGAGCCACAGCACCACTTCCAGGTTTCTAGTGGTTTATTGGAGATCAGAGTCTCACGGACTTTTCTGCCTGGGCTAGCTTTGAACCTCAATCCTCAGATCTCAGCATCCTGAGTAGCTAGGATTATAGGTGTGAGCCACCGGCACCCAGCAAATAAAACATTTTTAAAATAATTTTTAAAAAATCTGTTTTGCAGGGGCTGGGAAGGTGGCTCATTGGTAGAGCGCTTGCCTTGAATGCCTGAGGCCCTGGGTTCGATATTCCCCAGCACCACATAAGCAAAAAAAAAAAAAAAAAAAGCCGGAAGTGGTGCTGTGGCTCAAGTGGTTGAGCGCTAGCCTTGAGCTGAAGAGATGAGGAACAGCGGGACAGCGCCCAGGCCCAAAGTTCAGGCCCCATGACCGGACCCCCCCCCCAAAAAAAATATTCAAAAACAAAAAAAAATAAAATCTGTTTTGCAGCTAAGTGCTGGTGGCTCATAGCTATAATCCTAGCTAAGGATCTAAGGATCATGATTCAAAGCCAACCCAGGCAGGTTAACCACCAGAAAACTGGAATTGGTGCTATAGCTCAAGTGGTAGAGCCCCATGACCAAAAAAAAAAACCCCCAAAACAAAAAAAAAATCTGTTTTGCAGTTTTAAGATACCTGTTGTAATATATTATCTACTAACTTAATAGCCATAGGTACTAAGGGCAAATACCAAAAAAGTCTTTAAAAGTCTTCAAAAAAGGCCTTAAATACCAAAAAAAGTCTTAGTCACAGAATCGAAGAATTGGGGAGGGGATTGTGAGGTGGCACTGGAGGGGACGAGTCGCTCCTGCTTTATAGCTAAGCTTCTCTAAGGAAGTGAATAATGCACGTTTTCACTAAAACAATGACATCATAAATGCTATTCTGTATTTCTTTTCTTTTTTTTTTTTTTTTTGGGTCCGGTCGTGGGGCCTGAACTCTGGGCATGGGCGCTGTCCCTCAGCTCTTCAGCTCAAGGCTAATGCTCTACCACTTGAGCCACAGTGCCACTTCTGGCTTTTTTCTTTTTTGCTTATGTGGTGCTGAGGAATCGAACCTAGGGCTTCAGGCATGCAAGGCAAGCGCTCTACCACTGAGCCACCTTTCCAGCCCTCTGTATTTCTTATAGTGTTAAGCTGCTCCTATTAGTGACAGATTCAGACATGTGTTTATCTTTTTTGCCAATATATTTAGGCATGTATATATACACTAATACAAGTTAAATGGAATTATATGCTGTTTTGTTTTTAATAGCTGTACAATATTCTGATTCATTATACCACTTCCTGTTGAGAGATCATTTTTATCCCCAAGCCTCAAATTCCTCAATCCTCAAGCTTCAGCCTCCCATATGCTAGTATTACAGGCACGCATCATCATGCTCCCAAGGTCTTCATTGTTTCCTATTTTGTTCTTGATTTTGCAACTTTGAACAAAATCAGCAAATGTCTCTACACATGTAGCTTTATATACTGGAGTTTTATTCCTATAAGAAGGATGGTTGGCTTCTCATGCCTGTAATCCTAGCAACACAGGAGGATGAGATCTGAAGATTGCAGTTTAAAGCCGGCCCAGGCACTAAAGTCCATGAGACTTTTTATCTCCAATTAACCCCTACCCTGCCAAAAAGCAAGCAAGTAAACAAACAAACAAAAAGACTCAGGCCACATGTTAGTAGCTCATACAAATCTTAGCTATTCAGGAGGCTGAGATCTGAGAACTGTGGTTCAAAGCCAGCCCAGGCAGGAAAATTAGTGAACCTCTAATCTCCAATGAATCACAGAAAAAGCTGGAAGTAGAGCTGTGGCTCAAGTAGTACAGCTCTAGTCTTGAGCAAAAAGCAGCTCAGGAATAGCTCCCAGGCCCAGAGTTCAAGCCCCAGGACCAGTCAAAAAATTTTTTAAAAACAACAAAACAAAAACCCAGAAACGGATCTGTGACTAAAGTGCTAGAGTAGTAGATTTGAACAAAAAAACTCAGAGACAGTGTCATAGACTGAGTTCAAGTTCCAGGACTGGCGCGCGCACACGCAGGCACGCATACACACATACATACACATACACACACACACACACACACACACTCACTATATGAAAGGAAAAATATACTTTTTATTTTACATACAATATATAGAACACATAAAATATATAAATAATATATAAAAAACATTTTTCTATGTTACTAAATATCTATCACATTATCTTTAGTAACTAGGTGATTATAGTCTACTACATAGATAAACTACACTATTGAAGCAGTCTCCTTCAGTGGCTCATCTAAATTACTGCAAAATGTCACCTATTTAAATGTCATAGTAGGGGCTGGGAAGGTGGCTCAGTGGTAGAACTCTTGCCTTGCATGCAGGAGGCCCTGAGTTCGATTCCTCAACACCACATAAGCAAAAAGAAAAAAGCCGGAAGTGGCGCTGTGGCTCAAGTGGTAGAGTGCTAGCCTTGAGCTGAAGAGCTGAGGGATAGTGCCCACAACCGGACCAAGAAATAAATAAATACATAAATACATAAATGTCATAGTAAATAATGTCACAGCTTCCTCTTGTGCCTTTTATGTTCATTCCTTAGATTTGAAAGTATACTTGCTACTCAGGAAGCTGAGATCTGAGGATTGCTGTTTGACGTCAGCCCAAGCAGGAAAGCCCATGATACTCTTATCTCCAGTTAACCACCAGAAAACTGGAAGTGACTCAACATGACAGAGTGCCAGCCTTGAGCAAAAGAGCCCAGGGACAATATCCAGGCGGAGTTCATGTCCCACAAACAAAAACAAAAGGTGTATTACCTTTTTCTGGAAGCTGTGAAGGCAGGTAGGAAAAAAGGTAGAAGAAGACACAGACCCTCCCTCAATGTAGTGGGGACAAGTAAGCCCAACTAAACTATCTGACACCTGGCAGGGAAACACTTGTGCTTCTTGTATGCTTCTCACCAGCTGGCCTTGCGTGTACTGATTAGTTTATATAACATCCAACTGGCTATGGTATATGGTGAGTTTCCATGGTGTAACCTCTCTGAGCAATTACTAGTCTAGTAAAATAAATACCAGGAAGCTGAAATATGTCTTGTCTGAGGTGGGTAGGGACCAAGGGGAAAAGAATAGCTGAATGGAGAGAGAAATAGTGGAACAATACAGTGATAATACTCAATATACATACCTGAAAATGCGCGTAGGAAACTTGAGGAGATAGTGGAGATAGGATAAATAGGAGAAGCATGATGAAAGGGTGACAATGACCAAGATGCGTTCATTGTGCTCATGAATGGACGTGTTAACCTGAAACCCCTTTGTACAACTATCTGAAGGTTAAAACAAACACCATCCAAATGCATCTGGCAGAAGAAAGGCTCCACTCTGCGTCAGTAGCATGCCACATATGTGTTTAACATGCAGCACTTTTATTCAGATACTTAATCTGAGCATCAATTCTACATAAATTTTGTTTCTTTTTTTTTTTTTTTTTACAGATAACAATGATAGCATTGTTGCACACTTTTTAATGTGGCTGGTAGCATTCTAAGTGTTTTATGTGATTTAAGTCATTTACTTCTCTTAACTAACTTTACAGATGAAGAAACTAAAACATAAAAAGGCCAAGTGAGGCCACCCACCAGTGGCTCACGCCTGTAATCCTAACTACCCAGGAACTGAGATCTGAGGATCAAGGTTCAAAGCCAGCTGGGCAGCAAAGTCTGTGAGACTCTTATCTCCAATAAACCACCAGAAAACTGGAAGTGGCACTGTGGCTCAAGTGGTAGAGCACTAGCCTTGAGCTGAAGAGCTGAGGGACAGCACCCAGACCCAGAGTTCAAGCCCCATAACCGGGAAAAAAAAAAAAAAGGCCAAGTGACTTGCCCAAAGACACAAAAATAAGAAATGCAGATCTAGAATCTGCACCCAGACCATCTATCTTCAGAGTCCAGGGTCTTAATCACTGGCAATGAATTAGATGAAGTGCCCAATCATCCCTTTGCAAATGACCTTTGCAAAAGACCCCAAAGTGCATATTGTGTAACTTGTTGTTGATAAACTAGAAAACATGGACTGGTAGACAGAGAAAAAAAATAAGTGCACTTACACTACCTTGATATCATTTAGGAATTCAGTGTCTTTCTTCTGTATTGGTCTATTTGTCCATATTAAGGCACTATAGGTCTTGGTCTTTTCTTCTTCACCTTCTTTCATATGTCCTATTGCCTCTCTAAACAAAGTAACAAAATGGAGTTTGTCTGAATATATAAAATACAAGCAAACCTCATTCCAAATTTCTCTTTTAAAATAACTTACACACATTCCCTTTATTTTAACTGTACAACTCAACGATTTTAGTATGCTTTCAGAGTTGTGTGGCTATCACCACAATCTAACCTTACAATACTGGCATCACCCCAGAAAGAAACTTCATAGCCATGAGTGGTCACTTCTGATTCCTCCTTTTCCCAGCCCAGTCCAGACCATAACGGATTGACTTTCCATCTCTACAATTTCCCTACTCTGAATACCTTACATCTAATGCAATCATACAGTATGTGGTACTTGGTGCCTGGCTTCTTTAACTTCCTAATACATTCAAGATTCATCTGTGATGTAGCATGTGTAAGTATTTTATTGAATATGGTAACTAATCTTTTGAGAAACTCAGAGAATTTTGCAAAGTGGCCACATTTAGATCCCAACAGTAATATATGCTGGTTTTCTCTGCCAGTACTTGTTATTCTCTGGGTTTTTCATAGTAACCATCCTGGTGGGTGTGAGGTGGGATCTCTGTGGTTTTCATTTGCACTGCCCTAATGACTAATGATGTAGAGTATTTTTTTAAGTTATTCATTGACTATTCATATATCCTCCTTGAAGAAATGTCTCCTTATCATTTCCCCCATTTTTAACTAGGGTGCTAAGAGAGTTCTTCACATATTCTGGGTACAATTTCCTTACCAGATTATAATCTACAACTAAAATTTCCCTGTTGAAATTGTCTTCATGAGCCTACCCTTACCTTGTAACAAGCTGCAAATCACGTACTTGGATTTTGTCAGATGACTTATTAATTTTCTGTAGTAGTAGAAAAAGAAAAAACAATTAGCAGCACTAGCTTGGTTACATAGGTGCTGAAACATGAGATTTCCATGTCATGAAGTGGTTTACCTGCTGAAGCTCCTTAATTTCTTGTGAAGTGAAATGTATTCTATGAGGATTCACCAGCTCAATTGCAAAGGGCCTTCCTGGCAGCACACACCCCATCATGAAACAGAAACGTGTCAATGGAGTTAACATTTGGGCTAATGCCAGAGGGTTAGGAGGTGTGAAAAATGGGTTAAGCTCTAGAGGACTGAAAGCTTAGTGATATGACTACATCTGGGGGAGAGAATGTGTGAAAGAAGCAAGGGGCTTCTGGGGGACTGCAAAACCCCAGTATAGGCAGTAGGTGAAAATGACTGCTTTCCCAAAGGTCCATGAGCAAGCCTGTGTTAATTACAAAATAAAATCCAACCCACTAATTAAGTTGGTTACACCAATGTAAGGTTGTCACAGGCAGCCAATGCCCAGGTATACCAAGTTGAAAGCCATTCCCCAGCCTAATCTAATCTAATGAAAAAATTGATTCCATGAGAGAGATGGACTACAGATGTCAAATAGCTCAGAATTAATTCTCATCATCCTTCTTATAATTCAACAGATAAAATGAGGGAAATAAAATCTAAAAGAGGAGAATCATTTTTAAGTGAAGAAGTATATTTTGGGGCCGGGAATGTGGCTCAGTGGTAGAGTGCTTGGCTAGCATGCATGAAGCCCTGGGTTTGATCCTCAGTAACACATAAACAGAAAAAAGCTGGAAGTGGTGCTATGGCTTAAGTGGCAGAGTACTAGCTTTGAGCAAAAGAAGCTCAAGGACAGTGCCCAAGCCCTGAGTTCAAAGCCGCAAGCCTGGCAAAAAAAAATAAATTTTTTTTTGGAATTACTGGTACTTCTGAAATATTATTAAATAAAATGATTAGTAATCAAACTTTGGAGAGAATGCACATAAACGGCTATTACAACCTACAGATATGAACTAGGATGCTTCTGAAAAAATGTCTCTTGGTCAGACATGGATCATATAATTTACAAAGGAGCTCCATAATCTACAAGACCTCTCTCTTGGAGAAAGTTCTAGGCTTTGCCCTCGCTGTAACAATTGTTAAGTCTGCAGGTTAGAATGGGTAGAAATGGGAAAAAGCTAGTTCTAAGAAGGTGATGCTGATATAATCTTACCATTTCCTAATGTTCTCACATCTACATCTTCTCTTCCAGAGGATGAGAAATTAAAACCTTCAGGAAGCAGATCAAGGGAGGAAAAAAAAAAATCAGAGACATAATATCCCTGAGATACTTGTTTCCAACTTCTGGTAGAATCCAATTTAAGGTCCTAACAGTTTACAGGAGAAACCCAAGGACTAGTTAGCCCATCTCTCATCCTAGTCTCTGCTGAAAATAATACAACTAAGGGCCCATATATCTTTGAGCACATGCACATGCACACGTACCACACACACATATACATATACAAATTATACATATTTAATTTTTATTCTAACTTTATGAAGTATTAAGTAAAAGACCATGCCACAGAAAGCTATAGATAATTTTTTTTAATTTAATTTAATTTTATTTGTGAACATACTGTACAGAGGAGTTACAGTTACTTGGGCAGGATAATGCGTACATTTCTTACCAAGCATTGCAGCCTCCTCCTTTGTTTACCCTTCACATCCCTTCCCAGCCTCCCCCCTCTCCCCAGCTATAGATAATTTTGACAGGATCACACAGTCAAGTGGCAGAGCTAGGCAACTGATGTCAAAGCCAGACCTGAGTTGTCATCCCACGCCACCAACCCATGGAAAACTAAGGTGGAGCACTTTCTGAAGGATGCTCACATCCCTGGCCACTAGTTTATAAAGTAAAAATCTATCATCCTCTTTCTTTCTGTAAAACAAGACAAGGTCTAGGGGAAGGGGCAAGGGATGTTGCTTAAGTGGTAGAGCACCTGCCTAACAAGCACAGGGCCTATAGTTCAAACCAAAAATAAAGAAAAAAAACTATACATTTAAGAATTAAGATTAAACTTAATGGCTCAAGCCACGAAGGAGGATCATGATTTGAGGCTAGCCCATTTATGAGATCCCGTAGCTCAACAAGGCCAAGCTAGGTGTGGTAGTGCATAACTATCATCGGAGCTAATTAAGAAGTGTAACTATGAGGAACATGGCTAAACCAGTCTAAAAAAAGGTGAGATCCTAACTCAAAAATAACCAAAACTAAAAGGGCTGGAGGTATGGCTCAAGTGGTATAGTCCTGCCTAACCAAGTTCAAACCTCAGTGCTGTCTAGAAAAAAAAAAAGGGGGGGGGGGGGTAGAAAAAAAAAGAAATAAAGGAGGAAAGAAAGGAGAAAGGCAAGAAGGGAGAGAGGGAGGGATCACTTTAGCAAGCCAAACCAAACGTTGTTAGAAACACAGGATATTGTCTGTCAGGTCATACCCAGGGAAGTAGGCCCCTCATAGGACCCAAAGCTATGTCTCATATAGAGGAGTGACTAACCTGGAGCTAGTATGCTGTGTTCACACCAGAAGACAGGCCATATGGGCATGAGATCAGGATCTTTCCCAGGTGGAGAACCTAGGATTTGCAGGGAGAAGGAATCTGGGGACCACTCAGTCCTAGAGACCCCTCCATTCTGTTTCCATACCAGTGTCATATCACATGGAAACCCACAATAACATCAGAGGCATCTAGTCAGAGTCAACAGACTCAGAAAGTAGCATGAAGGAAGGATAAGTACAATTAAGTAGGAAATTCAAAACAGCACCTGGAAGCTGAATGATACATAGTCCCTGAGTTCAGAAACACAGGTTTAGCAAATTTATGCTTTGTTTGTGGCAGTACTGGGTTCAAACTCAGGGTTTCACACTCACTAGACAGGCACTCTCCTACTTGTGCTGTACCTACAGCCCTTTTTGCTCTGGTTATTTTTTTAAATAGAATCTGAATTAGCAAACAAAAGAGCAAGACTACTTCAAAACTGCTTCCTGCTAGGATGATGGATATGTGTTGTCATATCCAGACTGTTCTGTTGAAATGTGAAGCCATGAACTTTTGGGCTGGGCTGGCCCTGAAGGCTACTACCTCCTGACCTCTCAGCCTTCTGGGTAGTCGACATTTAGATTTGTGCACCACTGTGCCCAGGTACTAGTTAATGAGGTCTCATAAACTTTTTGGCCTAGGTTGGCTTCAAACCATGATCCTCCAGGTCCCCACCTCCCAAGTAGTAGGGTTACAGCATGAGCCACTGAATTATGTCCTAAATTGATGCTCATAATCCGGAATTTCACACAAGGTTTTATACCCTGATAAGGAGCCAGTGAGCACAGAGGATCAGGTCTGCTTTCTCTCAAGTTGCTCTTATTTGATTTCTTTAGTACACCTACTGAACATACAATCTGGTTTATTTTTAGTGTGGAGATAATATTTCTCCCTTCATAAAAAAAAATCACCTTCATAAAAGACTGCAAGGGGGAAACACACAGTTGTTTCAGAATCTTCCAGCAGCAACTGGGACCTCAGAACTGAAGATTCCTTAAGTCCTTATAGGAGGGGGTATGGTAGCCTCAAAAAACAGATCTTACAAAAGGCTTTTAATGCTGTTTTCACTTCCTTACAACTGTCTTCTAAGATAATCAGTTTGTAAAAATCAGACATAGATATAGATTCAGATATATAGATATAGATAGATATGTAACTGTATAAACCCACACAGGGTTTTTTGGTGGTACTGGGTCTTGAGTATGCTAGGAAAGAGCTCTGCCACTTGAGCCACACCAAAAGTCCTTTGTTTGTTTTGTTTTAAACACATAAACTCCTCAACTTTTCCCAGACTAGCCTTGAACTCACAATCCTCTTCATCTCTTGAGAAGCTGGGTAGAAACTACCAATAAGGTAAGTAAAGCTCATGGGGTTAGTCCAGAGTATTTGCTTCTACAATTAAAAAAAATATATATTGGATTGGTAGGTTACTTTCTTCTCCATTCAGTTAACAAGACCTTTTTGAAAAAGGTCTTGGGAGATTTTTTTAGGTTTGTACGACTGATAGGCAAGACTGTAAAAGTGCTATGGTCTGAGGTGATTCTCTTTCCACCTGATAAGTAAGAGAGCTGGAAAGGACAGCTAAACCCCATCTGGACCATCTGTCCATCCTAATCAAAGCATGATCCCCCCTGAGCTTTTTCAGACAGAAAGATATATAGCTGTTCCCTCAAATAAAAAAAAAAAAGTTTGAGCGCACTATGGTTCACGACTATAATCCTAGCTACTCATGAGGCTCTGAGCTGAGGATCGAAATCTGAAGGCAGCCTCGGTAGAAAAATTCCTGTGATGCTTATCTCTAGGTAACCACCAAAAAGCCAGAAGTGGAGCTGTGGTTCAAGTGATAAAGTACTAATAGCCTTGAGGAAAAAGCAAACAAACAAAAAAAGCTGAGGGACAACACCCAGGACCCGAGTTTAAGCCTCAGGACCACCACCAAAAAAATAAAAATAAAAAGTTTTCTAATTATGGTAGGAGATAACAAAAAAGTAAAAAACTGACACTGCTAATTACTTGCAGTTTCTCTTGACATGTAATGTGATTTCCTATGACTGAAATCTCCGTCCCTTCCCTCTGATCTAATCCTAGGTGAAATCACAGACTGCATACTACCTTTGACCTGGCAGGTCTATTGAGAAAAGGGAGACAAGCCTGACTAAACCTGACTCAGCCCCGAAACTCGGGTCATCAGTCCCTAGGAAATCAAAACTCAACATGCTAACATGGTGTGTTTGTGAAATGGTCACTGCTGATCTCTTTTCTCTAGGCCTGAACTTCATTCCAGAGTGCATTGAAGGTTTAGATGGAAGCCAGACATTTACCAGTGCCTATACCTGAACATGTACTAGATGTGGAAGTTCTCTTAACTTCTCATATTCCCCTAAGGAGGCTGAGGCTGTGTTAAGGTCAGATCTTAAATATGTTCATTTAAAGGACTTTCCCAGGAAAAAACAGTCTGAGAAAAGAAAAATATACTTGGTTACTATGGCTAAAATCAAGCCCTGACCCTCGAAAGAAGCTCTGGATGTAAGGGTCCCAATTCACTGGAAGGGGATGAGGGGCCTAGACTTGATAGTGATTGACAAAATATAGAAATATTTCATGCTACTTCAAGAAATGTACTCATGAAAGATCATAAATTGAAATTATTTTATTTTTGTTGACAGTACGGAGCCAACCAAACTCAGGCCTCTGTATTTGCTAGGTAAGTGATCTACCTTCAGCCGGGCCCCAACAAATGACAACATTTTAAAATGTGAACATTTTCACACTTACTCTCTGCTTTGAACACCGTCAACAAATGATCTGAAATTAATTCTTCCACTGAAGATTCCAGCTTCCTTTCTCCATCAATTATCCAGGGAGTTTGTGGTAGATTCCTTGAGTATTTATTATATCTCCCTGCCAAAGAAAATCAGGAATTTTCTTGGATGGAATGGTATGGTTAACAAAACAGGGCAAAAGAAGAAGCAACAACTGTTTAGTAAGCCCAAAGTTCAAAGTGCTATGATACAAACTAATTCATAATCTAACTTGGGGACCCAGCACACAGACGTGAAAGTAATTAAATAAACAATAGATGGCTAACGATGTAATGTGAATGACACATCAAAAGTAATTAAATGATTAAATGTGATTAAAATATGATGAAAAGGAATCAGTACATTTAATAAGTTGACTAGCTCACTACACAAGTTATCATAGTATGTATGAAATACACAAGGGATCATTTTTTAAAACTATTACTTTTACACATGATGAACAATACATACTTTCAATATAATAGTCATTAGTGCTCATGTATTGAAAAATTCAAATACAGAAATTTTGAAGCTTTTATTAGTTAAAAAAAAAAATCCTAACAGACTCTGACTCAGTGTTCATGGGTAAAGCTAAACCAAGGCATACAGCTAGCTGCCACTGCTCTGGGGCAATCACAGAGAAATGAAGTAATAGTAATAGCTGAAAACTGTGTGCTGCATTACCACTTGGGAAAGTTAATACAACCGGCACCCAGCACACAAAAAAAATTTGGGCATGACATTTCAAATAACAATTCAAATAAAACTTTTGTTGTTGATTTTGTGTCAGTAGTAGGCCTTGAATTCAAGGCTTTGTCACTCCGTTTTGTTTCACTCATGGCTGGCACTCTACTACTGGAGCCATGCCTTTACTTTTGTCTTTTTGCTGGCTAACTGAAGATAAAAGTCTCTCAGATTTGTCTGCCCAGGCTAACTTCAAACCTCAATCCTCGTATCTTAGCCTTGTGAATAGATAGAATTATAAGCATGAGTGCCCAGCACTCAGAGGTTCTTGAAAATTACAGCACCTAGAATAAGTTTGTCTATCAGTTCTGCTTTGCCAAAGAGTAGACTAACCAGAGCACAAAAAATAAAACAAAACAAAAAACACCCAGTAAGAGAAGAGCAGAAGATAAGTACATGAGTTGCTTAGAAAGGACATTAGGAAGACAGAGAATGCAGAGTTTAAATTAAATATTTTACCAGCCACAAAAACAGCACCATGAGCACATTCAATCTCAAGAACAGTGCACATAGTCTTTGGTGACTCCGGAGGACAAGGAAACTGCCTGCAAAACAAAACAGATTTTATGGATACTACTTTCTAAACATGGTAACTGATCACAAACGTAAGATGAACCAGAATCATCTGAGACACACACAGAACCTAAGTCTCTCCACAGGCACCCATCTTTTGGTTTTGGAACAATCAGGTCTTTCAAGCCTCTAGGGTACCACTTTTAACATATGATGGTAGCAGCACTGAGTAAATCAGGCACCATAGCTTCCTAGATGGTCATTCTAATAGCCTTCAGATTCATATGTTCAAGTGCAAGCCCCTCCATTTTGCTCTCCCTGGTCCCTTGCTGCCTGCCTGCTTACATGATTCTCACTCACTTGGGCAGAGCTAGTGCACAGTGATAGTACACAGTGAATTACTGGATGGCCTTGTGGGGTACAGCCCCCCTATAGGGAAGGAGCTCTACCCATTTTCCTTTTTCTTCCTTCTCATTGCAGCTATGTTCTTGGGAATTAGACCAGAGAACCAGAAAAATGTAAGAACGTAGCTGACACAATCCCCTTAGCTAAGTAACTTCAACCTCACTGAGGAAAGAACTTTATTATCTGTCTATCATTTAGGAATTTCCAGGAACAGCAGTCTACTGTAAATGACTAGATGCAGATTTAATGACAAAAGTATGGCTTGAAATTTTCCTTTGGTTTCCCAAGATGCTTTAAAAAAGAGTTTCATTTAGAAACTTGGGAACTTGTATATGCTTATAGGAAGTAACTGTCTTTATTGAGATTTATGCAAGATCTGGAACAAAAACTACAGTAATATTCTATCTTAAAATCTTAAATGCATTAAAAATTATAAAGTTTCTTATATTTCAGTATAGTTTAACCATTTATGTTTTCAAAGAACACACTGATGCCATCATTGACCTGTCCAGAATTTCAAGTGGGTAATAGAAAATGGACCTAGAGCCAGGTTTCCTGATAAGCAGGCAATGCTATTCCCTTATAAGGTATTCCAGAGCCACCTTGAGTTTCCTCAGCAGATGGAAATACAGGATTACAGATGTAAAGAGATTAGCACTTGACCAAAGGCCCACACTCAACATTGTTGAAAACTTAGGGAAACCAACTCCCTCTGTGGACATCAATATCATCTTCTAAAATATAAGAAGGCTGGACTTGATTCATAATTCAAATATTAAATTGATACACATATGCTGAATACTATGACATGCCAAGAACTACACAAAGGACTGGTACTATAAAGATGATTAAGACACAATCCTGGCCCCTGGAATATATTCAGTCTTCTCGTAGACACAAGTGAAATTACCTCTAACATTTCCTTTATTCCCAAATTCCATGATGCCTCCTTTTTCTATACTTCTACTTACTTTCGGAAATCTTCTTCTGTTATCTTATTCAAAGCTTTCATAACTGCCATTCTAGTGAATACCGACTATATAAGGTAAAATGGGAAAAAAAGACATTTTAGCACCCGAATAAAAAACATCAGAGCTGAGTACACAGAACATGATGAAGAAATTATATCACTTTATAGATCTAGAAGTAATAAATACTTAAGCTTCAAGAAAATAAAGCTTAAGAGCTTATAATGTCAGTCCCATAGTCTAGCTCTCCAGCCTTCTCAATGATCTATGACCACTAGGGAGATGGGGCCAAACAAGTCTCCTTACTGATTGGTTTACTCTTCTCAAAATCCAATTTTCACCTATGAAAATGATGGCATTTCAGGAAATACATTTTAAACATTTTCCCAAGGCCTCAACAGGAATTTAGACTGAACCATCCATCTTTTCTTCCCGATATCAAAGGCCACAATTTGTAACTTGGGAGTTGGCTGCCACAGAAAGGGACAAAGGAGAGGAAATTTGCCTGCTCTGGCACCTAGCAACTCAATGTCATTCAATATCTAAACAAATTAAGCCAATCTACTATACTGAAAACAAAGGTATCTACAACAATGATCTACTTGGGTTTTTTTTTGCCTTTTTTCTTAATAAAAAGCCACAATCTGCCCTAGGACTAGCAAAAAAAAAAAAAAAACCATGAGTTATAGCATACTAGGACTAATTTGCAAATATATACATTGCTTATGATTTCTTCTTTAAGAAATCACGTGTGGGGCTGCGAATGTGGCTTAGTGGTAGAGCACTTACCTAGCATGAATGAAGCCCTGGCTTACCTAGCATGCATGAAGCCCTGGGTTCAATTCCTTAGTCACACATAAACAGAAAAAGCCAAAAGTGGCACTCAGGGACAGGCTGAGAATGTGGCTTAGAGGCAGAGTGCTTGCCTAGCATGCATGAAGCCCTGGGTCCAATCAATACCACATAAACAGAAAAAGTTGGAAGTGGTGCTGTGGCTCTAGAGTGCTAGCCTTAAGTAAAAGAAGCTCAGGGACAGTACACAGGACAGGAGTTCAGTCCCCAGGACTGGCAAAAAGAAAAAGAAAAAAGAAAGACGTCATGTGTGACTGAAAGGAAGTAATACTAGAAATCTTAATCATTAATCATTAATGTTTTATTATAATATATTATATTATTATATGCTATATATAATTTTAATAGAAAACATACCCTAGGGTTACTCTAGAGAGTTCTAACAAGGTACCATATAGTCAAAATGAAAATAAGATGCCTGTTCCATAAGACATGAAATCTTAGGCCTGAAATAATCTCAAAAGGACACTCTATACTGCATTACAAGGCAAGGAAATCATACTTGAAGCTCTATATCTCTCACTGCCAAGTAGTATAGTGTCTAATATACCTTGAAAATTTTTTCCTTATCTGATGTTGGCACTGTTATGTCTTCCCAAATATAACAAAAACTACAAATATGTTTCATGGGTCATGCCCATAGAGCTTCCCAGCTAGTGGCAAAGAGGAGCGCTACAGTTGGACCAAGATGTCTAATCCTTCAGTTCACAAAGACTGAAGGGCAAGGACTGTGACAAGGGAACCTCCAGGCTGTGCTTCCATGCTGAAGCAATTACAACCATTAGCCTTAAGGCGCTGAACATAGTCTTGTTCTAACTATGCCATGACATGAAAGTACAGGGAAGGCTAAGCCCCAGTGGCTCATACCTATAATCCTAGCTACTCAGGAAGCTGAGATCTGAAAATCAAGATTCTGAGTCAGCCCAAGGAGATAAATCCTTGAGACTATTATCTTCAATTAACTAACAAAAGGCTGGAAGTGGAAGTGTGACTGAATTAGTAGAGAACCAACTGTGAGCAAAAAAGCCAAGTAGAGCCTGTGGCCCTGAGTTCAAACCCCAGTACATAGACACCACCCCCCAAAACCCCTCATCCCCCCCCCCCACACACACTGTATGGAAGGAAAAACTGCTTCAGGCTTAGTCTACATTTCTAATTATTTCTATATAGAGTATTAGACCAATATTATAACCTATTCTAGTTCTAAAAGACCCAATAATTAGTCAAAACAGAACATTTTTGACAATAAACATATTCTTTTTTAAGGCCACAAGAAACTGTAGCAATACCTGACTCTAAAACAAACTCCATAACGGTCATGAAAGGTTGTCCCAGTATCATGCTCAGTGCTAAAACTACATACTAAGCCAGGTGCTGGTGGCTCACACATGTAATCCTAGCTATTTAGGAGGCTGAGATCTGAGGATCATGGTTTAAAGCCAACCCAGGAAGAAAGTCCATGAGACTCTTACAATTAGCCACCAGAAAACCGGAAGAGGTGCTATAGCTCAAAATGGTAGAATGTTAGCCATGGCAAAAGAGCTGAGGGACAGCACCCATACCCTGAGTTCAAGCCCGGTGACTGATTAAAAAAAAAAAAAAAAAGTACATACTAGGCTGGGCACTGTGGCTCACACTTATAATCTTATATAATACTCAAAGTGGCTGAGCTCTGAAGTACAATTCAAAGCCAGCCCAGGCTAAAAGTTCCACAAGACTCTATCTCCAATTAACCAACAAAATGCTGGACTATAAAAGCATGGCTTACATGTTCGAATACCAGCCATGAGTCAAAAATCTGTGTAAGAATCACAGGTCTTGATTTCAAGCCCCAATACTAGCACACACACACACACACACACACACACACACACACACACACACACACGCATGTGGGCGCACACACACAATTTACATACTAACAAATTTTTGACAATAAACATATTCTTTTTTAAGGCCACAAGAAACTGTAGCAATACCTGACTCTAAAACAAACTCCATAACGGTCATGAAAGGTTGTCCCAGTATCATGCTCAGTGCTAAAACTACATACTAAGCCAGGTGCTGGTGGCTCACACATGTAATCCTAGCTATTTAGGAGGCTGAGATCTGAGGATCATGGTTTAAAGCCAACCCAGGAAGAAAGTCCATGAGACTCTTACAATTAGCCACCAGAAAACCGGAAGAGGTGCTATAGCTCAAAATGGTAGAATGTTAGCCATGGCAAAAGAGCTGAGGGACAGCACCCATACCCTGAGTTCAAGCCCGGTGACTGATTAAAAAAAAAAAAAAAAAGTACATACTAGGCTGGGCACTGTGGCTCACACTTATAATCTTATATAATACTCAAAGTGGCTGAGCTCTGAAGTACAATTCAAAGCCAGCCCAGGCTAAAAGTTCCACAAGACTCTATCTCCAATTAACCAACAAAATGCTGGACTATAAAAGCATGGCTTACATGTTCGAATACCAGCCATGAGTCAAAAATCTGTGTAAGAATCACAGGTCTTGATTTCAAGCCCCAATACTAGCACACACACACACACACACACACACACACACACACACACACACACACACACACGCATGTGGGCGCACACACACAATTTACATACTAACAAATTTTTGACAATAAACATATTCTTTTTTAAGGCCACAAGAAACTGTAGCAATACCTGACTCTAAAACAAACTCCATAACGGTCATGAAAGGTTGTCCCAGTATCATGCTCAGTGCTAAAACTACATACTAAGCCAGGTGCTGGTGGCTCACACATGTAATCCTAGCTATTTAGGAGGCTGAGATCTGAGGATCATGGTTTAAAGCCAACCCAGGAAGAAAGTCCATGAGACTCTTACAATTAGCCACCAGAAAACCGGAAGAGGTGCTATAGCTCAAAATGGTAGAATGTTAGCCATGGCAAAAGAGCTGAGGGACAGCACCCATACCCTGAGTTCAAGCCCGGTGACTGATTAAAAAAAAAAAAAAAAAGTACATACTAGGCTGGGCACTGTGGCTCACACTTATAATCTTATATAATACTCAAAGTGGCTGAGCTCTGAAGTACAATTCAAAGCCAGCCCAGGCTAAAAGTTCCACAAGACTCTATCTCCAATTAACCAACAAAATGCTGGACTATAAAAGCATGGCTTACATGTTCGAATACCAGCCATGAGTCAAAAATCTGTGTAAGAATCACAGGTCTTGATTTCAAGCCCCAATACTAGCACACACACACACACACACACACACACACACACACACACACACACACACACGCATGTGGGTGCACACACACAATTTACATACTAACAAATTTATTACCTAACAGAAAAAAAGAATATGAATAAAAGGACATTTTTGCAAATGGAGCCTAAATAGATGTATAGGTAAAATATCTCAATCTGAAAATCCAAAATCTGGATTTCTGGATACTCAGCTAGTAGTCTATATAAATAATTCCAAAATCCAAAACATTTCAAAAGTCTGAAACATTTCTGAGTTAAGCATCTAAATAAAAGATATTCAACTTGTATTAAACTCAGGACCATCCTAAATAAAATAACATTTGGTTTATATTTTTAAAACACTAATTTCTGGAATATATATATATACATATATATGTGCATATATATATATATATGTATATACATATATATATATATGGCAAATATATATATATATATATATATATATATATATGGCAAAAGTTTGCAATGGTGTTAATACCAAGGATTTTCCTAGATGATGTAATTTAGGAAGTTTAAAAACAAGTTGACTTTCCTAAATGGTTGATAGTGTTATCACCAATCTAAATGTCATGAACCAGATACTGACACAGCACAAGGAAATTTGCATACTAGGACTTTACCCAGAGGCAAAGATGCTAAGAGTTGAAAACATAAAAAGAAACATAGCAAATGCACATATTTGAAGACTGATTCCTGGTATAATAAACTTATCATATTTAAATGCATATCACTTTATTGTTCATTTGAATATTTAGCTCAGATAAAATTCCCAAATAAGATGAAAAACTTTTTACCTGCAGGGGTGGGGTAGGAAGGATGCGGGAGAATATTAAAAGGGGTGACATTGATCAAGATACACTATATAAACTGTTTTGTTGAATGACAACTCCTATGTACAACTACTTAAAGATAAACTTTAAAAAAAAAATCTTACCTGTTTGTTTTTGGCTGGCTTGAAACAATCTGGGCAAATTGTACCACTAAAATAAAATTTAAGTATTATAAAATGTTAATGAGTTTATTTGGGGATGAACATAATACAAATATACTTTACTCAACATGGCTGCTATAGTCAGCCATGTGAGCTATATTGGTTTGCCTAAGGAACTTATGTGAGAAGGTACATTCTAAACCCAGTGACATGATGAGTTCTGAAAAATACTCATTAGAAAGAGAAATAATACTATTTTCATGAAAACCGAAAGCATTAACAATTTTACATAACTGATGGTGATGTTTACATGGTAACTTACAGGAAGTGGCAGTCCTCAACTGTTTCTGGGTGAGCGAAGACCACACTCACTTCAAACAAGCTCTAAAAATTAGAAAGACACTTTTTAAATGAGCAAAAGGAAACCAACATCTAACAACTTATGAATGGAAACAGAAATTAACTCTCAAAAATTGGCTCAGAAAAAGTGACAAGGAAATCTAGAAGCACTACTGCTCTCAAATCAGTTGTACACAGGGCAGCAATAAAGGAAAGTTGGTTTGTTTTCTAACTTCTAAAATTCAGTCAGTAAATGATACTACCACACAACTTTCAAAATAAAATTTTTAAAAACTTGTATGATTCTTGGACAAAGACATAAATTAGCTATAAAGGTGAATGTGAATTAGGGGAAGTGGAAAGAGATAACTTCAAGAAACAAACTGTTCTATTAATACTATGACTGGAATAAGAAGGCAAAAACATTATGCTCACATCCTTAAAAACTCTGTATAAAGTTTACTTTTTAAGTGCTCAACTTTTTAAAAATAAATTTTACTAAAAAATTAGCCTTCAAAATTATAAAATTGTCAAATCAAATGAGTTTTTCAATCCCACTCTACCCAGATAAAATGATTAACAATGTAGCGTATTTCTGTCTGGTCATTTTTATGAATATATACTTTTTGAGATATATATGCTTTTGAAAAAATGCTTTACTTAATCTTATTTCATAGACATATTTCAAATGTACAGATTGTTAGAAAAGCTGAAGAATTTTCTAGTACTAAAAATTGTTAGCCAGGTGCTGGCACAGCTCACAAGATCTGAGGATTGTGGTTTGAAGCCAGCCCAGGTAAAAAAAAAAGTCTGTGAGACTCTTATCTCCAATTAACCGCAAAAAGCTAGAAATGCAGCTGTGGCTCAAATGGTAAAGTGATAGCCTTAAGCACAAAAGTGCAGGGACAGAGTCCAGCCCCCAGAGTTCAAGCACCAGGACTGGTGCACACACATGCGTGCGTGCAAACACACACGCACACACACAAATTGTTACAATGAGCTGGGCACCAGTAGCTCACACCTATAATCCTAGCTACTCCAGAAGCGGTGATCTAAGGATCATAGTGTGAAACCAAATGGGCAGGAAAGTTTGTGAGACTATTTTATCTCCAATTAACCACCAAAAAGCCAGAGTGGAGCTGTAGCTCAAGTGGTGGAGTGCTCAAGCCCCAAATCCAAGCCCCAGGGTGCACACACACACACACACACACACACACACACACACGCACATGCACACACACACGCACACACACGCATGCACGCACAGAAGCTACAATGAATATTTTTATATAGCAAAACAGCTCATTTTCACCAGGCGCTAATCTCAGCTATTCAGGAGGCTGAAATCTGAGGGCTGTAGTTCAAATCCAGCCCAGGCTGGAAATTTTCATGAGACTCTTCTTTCCAATTAACCTCCAAGTGGAGCTGTGGTTCAAATGTTAGAGCACTAACTTGGAGCACAAAAGCTCAGGGACCAGAATGGGCACACACACGCACACACACACACACACAGACACACACACACACATACACACACAAACAACCAAAAAACATAAAACAAAATTTCATAAACCATATACTTTAACCTCTTTTGGGAATGCATAAAACTCCACATTAGAGCCAGGCGCTCACATTTGTAATCCTTGCTACTTGGGAGGTTAGAATCTAAGGATTGTTGTTGGATGCAGCCAAGCAGGAAAAATCCATGGGACTCTTATCTCCACTTAACCAGCAAAATGTCAAGACATCGAACTGCAGTTCAAGTGGTAGAATGACAGCCTTGAGCAGAAAAAGCTAAGGAACAGCACCAAGGCCCAAAGTCCCCAGAATCAACACACACAAAAAAAACAAACAACAACAAAAAAATACCCTCCACACCTTGGGAAATCTAAATAACATGCTGTGTTGCAATTTATCTTTTTTATTAAGTTTTATATTTATTGAGTTCTGTGCGTGCTGAGTTCCCTGGATATATAATAAGCCTATTAACTACTCTAGAATCACAAAAATAAATAGCTTTCTATTGGTCCTTATCTAACCTACAAAATAAAACCAAAATGAATGACACATGTCCTATTAAAGAAAACTTAATTCAGTCTAAATCTATTAAACCACTATTTCTTCTGTTTTCTATTTTCTATTCTCACTGATTCAATGTGTAAAATTATTTGTGCTTCAAACTGAAATTTGAGGTAAAAATATTTTGCATTAGTGACTTGTCTAATTTCCAAAGTACTTTCATTACCTCATTTCCTCCTCATACTATCTGTGGTTTTATTCTCTATTCTCTCAGTATTCAGTTCAAAGGACAGTCACATTTTACTCCTACTAACAGAAAGAAATAACAGTATATAAATTAAAATGGTTTAAAAACTCTTTTACTTGAATAGAAATGAATGTTATATTCATGGAATTTCTTTCAAGTAAAATGATGACATACAGAGGTCATCCTGTAAAAGTCTAATTTAAGGTGAGCTGGGCTATGTACTGTTTTTATATCTGGAAACCTGTTGAGCTTTCCCTGAAATTCAATCCATTCCAGAGACTAAGGTCAGGTCTTTTCTGGAATTAAGAAAGTGACTAAGTTTGCAGGTGTTAAAGACAATCTCCACTTAAAAGTAAACAGAAGGACTTGAGATATTCACAAGGTAAAGTGGGTTGGATTCATTCTCACTGTAGTTAAATTGGTGCTTTCTATGTATCTGAAGCCAAGATTAGCCAAAGATAAGTGAAACTTAAATAGTCCAGAGTACAATCTATACTTGCTCAGTTATTTATGTATTACTTTGTATCAGAATATCTGTTCCTCCAATTAAACTATAACATGTTAAAGGCAAAGATTCATCTAACCTTTTAAGGTCAAGAGTGTACCCACTTATGGTACACTCTTTAAATGTTTGGATCACAAAGAAGCATTTGGAGCAAAAGATTAGAAGGGCTTTAATTTAAGACATTTTAAAAGCTTAGAAGTCCTTCACTGAATTATTTATTTGACTAAAGCAAAACTCTGCCATATAATAAAGTAAAACTAATAAAATTAGAGAAGAGACTTAACAATGCTATGACCCAATACCTTTCCATCAATTGGAACGCCCAGTTCCTCTGAAAACAGGGGGTGAGTTATCCATTTGTAGGCTTCTTTTAGCTGAACTATATCAGTTCTTCCCAGCGACAGACTCTGCTTTCTGAATAACAAAAATTAATTCACTGACATGAGAAACTTCACTTTTTCTAACAAAGGCAAGAAGTTATGTAATTAATTTAAAATATTAAGTGTATGTGATATAAAGCAGAGAATAAAGCAAATAAAAATTCTCTACATTTTAGGTGTATAGCCCAAGAAAATCAAGAAACCACCTCTTAGATGGTATATAAAACATTTCTTAAAGATTCAATGACAAAAGCCCACTGGTGTGTTTTTCTGAGCTAGATTTATAGATTCCAGGATTTATATATACTGGAAGGGGAAAAAGATAATTGCTTATTGCTCAGAAGCCATAAAACTACTACAGTAATCACCTCCATGGTGAATCTCCTCTCCTTCTGAAAATGACTTACTCTTAAGAAATTATTGTAAAGATTGTATTTTTTCTTTGTTGCTGCAGAAGAAATATTAAATCCTGAAGTAACAATACTATGATATGCTTCTCCATGTAATATCTGATGATGTCTGAGTAAAGACTTCACATTCCCCTAAAATCTACTCATGAGACAATATACCCAGTTGGGAAATCCCCATTCTGAAATTTGGCTTTAGTTTATAGCCTAAAATTGTGACAGAAAGAAACTAAAGTAAAAGGAAAGAAAAACATGGCATAGTATGACTAAAACTATTTTACTCTGTTGAGAAAGTGTGGGTTTTTTTTGTTTTTTGGGTTTTTTTGCCAATCCTGGGGCTTGAACTCAGGGCTGGGGACTGTCCCTGAGCTTATTTTGCTCAAGGTTAGTGCTCAAGCACTTGAGCCACAGGGCTACTTCTGGCCTTTTCTGTTTATGTGGTACTTAGGAATCGAACCCAGGGCTCATACATGCTAGGCAAGCATTCTATCACTATGATACATTCCCAGCCAAATTGCGATATTTCTAACAAGCCCATATTAAACTCGGTATCATCTGTATGCCTATCTATAGTAAAAGAGATGTTAAGATCAAAGTTCTGGGCTGGGAAGGTGGCCCAGTGGTGGGGTGCTTGCCTTGCATGCATGAGGCCCTGGGTTCGATTCCTCAGCACCACAAAGCAGAAAAGGCCAGAAGTGGCACTGTGGTTCAAGTGGTAGAGCACTAGCCTTGAGCTGAAGAGCTGAGGAACAGTGCCCAGGCCTAGAGTTCAGGCCCCACAACTGACAAAAAAAAAAAAAGATCAAAGTTCTGAATTGTCACTCCCTCGACCCACTTTTTTTTTTTTTTGGGTCCAGTCGTGGGACCTGAACTCTGGGCCTGGGCGCTGTCCCTCAGCTCTTCAGCTCAAGGCTAGCACTCTACCACTTGAGCCACAGTGCCACTTCCAGGTTTTTTTCTTTTTGCTTATGTGGTGTTGAGGAATCGAACCCAGGGCCTCAGGCGTGCAAGGCAAGCGCTCTACCACTGAGCCACCTTCCCAGCCCCTCGACCCACATTTTTTTGTGGTCAGTCATGGGGCTTGAACTCAGGGCCTGGGCGCTGTCCCTGAGTTTTTTTTGCTCAAGGTGAGTGCTCTACCACTTTGAGGCACAGTTCTACTTCCTATCTTCTGGTGGTTAATTGAAGATAAGAGTCTCATGAACTTTCCTGCCTAGGCTGGCATCAAACTGTTACCCTCACATCTCAGCCTCCTGAGTAGTTAGGATTACAGGTATAAGCCTCCAGCACCCAGGTGAATCAACCCTTTTAATGTCTAACTTTCACTGGTAGAAACTCTACTTATAAGCAATATCCATTTCCATTTAATTTTGTAAAGCAAAAGACACTAGTAACTGTAGGTTGCAAATTAAAAAGTAGCTTAGCAAATGATTGAATTGAATCAATCTGAAAAAAAGAATATAAAGAATATTCTCCCTCTAAAAATACAAATTAAAAAATTCAGCCAAAACTATAACTGGTTACAGAGGGTGCTTTCATGATTTGGGATTATGGTTTACAATGAAATATCCAGACAAATAATATTGGACAAATAAGCAAATTACTTCTCTACATTCATCAACTTATTTTAGAAACATTTAGGTTTTTTTGGGGGGGGGTCCGGTCGTGGGGCCTGAACTCTGGGCTTGGGCGCTGTCCCTCAACTCTTCAGCTCAAGGCTAGCACTCTACCACTTGAGCCACAGTGCCACTTCCGGCTTTTTTCTTATGTGGTGCTGAGGAATCAAACCCAGGGCCTCGAGCATGCAAGGCAAGTGCTCTACCACTGAGCCACCTTCCCAGCCCCAACATTTAGGTATTTTAAGGCCTTGATATTGAATCAACAGTTTAATGATATTTGCATAAACTATCATTGCAGTTAAAAGTATACATCATTATATGAGCATATGTTCTTTCAGAATGTATTTCAAAGAGTTAAAAGCTGAAACCAAAAAACACAAGAATGGAAACTATTTTAAAAATTATTTAGACTTTAGCATTCAAAGAGTTACACCAAAATTAATCCTAATAATCCATTATGCAAGAAAATTGCTGTTTTAGATAATAGGGTTTTTAAATATATGTACAGCAGTTAGTCCAGTTTAAAAAAAAAAAACAAAAACAACTTCAAGTACAGATACTTTTCTCCTACACATTAAAACGCCAAAAGGGTTAACAGACAGTTTGGAAACCTTATTACAAATACCAATACTTAGGATATCAGCGTTCCAATCCTAAAATGTAAAATGTGGTTATTAACTTTTTTAATGTAATTGGGGAAAATGCCTTAACAGAGGCCTTTGGCATATATCTGATTGTCAGTTAGAGGGATCAGCAATCACAAAGATAAATGCAGTCTCCATTTAATATTTAGTAACTGCTTTCCTCTCTGTCAATGAGAATGTCACTTTTGTTACAGATATAACACAATCACCTTTCTAAAGAAAAGATGAACCATAATGTCCAAGGCAATTGCTTTTTTCTACATTTCGAAATTAAAGAATCAACTCTTTGATAGAAATTCTCCTTAGCCTTTCAACCTCTAATGAACTAAGGGCAGTGAAGGAAAAGACTAGTGTCGCACATTTTTTTCCGCCAGTATTCCTATTTAAATCAAATTCTTTCCAAGAAACTAAGCATAGCTTAAAATCCTTTGGTACAGAATAAAAAGAATAACTCGGGGCTGGGAAGATGGCTCAGTAGTAGAGTGTTTGCTTTGCATGCATGAGGCCCTGGGTTCAATTCCTCAGCATCACATAAACAGAAAAAGCCAGAAGTGGTGCTGTGGCTTAAGTGGTAGAGCAATTGCCTTGAGCTGAAGAGCTCAGGGACAGTGCCTAGGCCCAGAGTTCAGGCCCCACGACTGACCAAAAAAAAAAAAAAAACCAACAACAACAACAACAATAACTCACAAGCAACATGAGTACAAAAAACATGATGCTACAACCATAAGACTAATTTAATAAGATTTAAACCACCAAACTTTTGATAAATATGAGGTTATTATTACTCTTTGAAAAGTACAGTATGAAATGCAAAATAAGACAGAAAATTAATTACTTTTTTAAATAAGAAACAACCAAGACTGACCTAATCTAGAAATCTAATATACAAATCTTGTAGAAACTCCAACCTGGATTTTTGTTTTTTGGTCAGTCCTAGGTCTTGCACTATCCCTGAGCTCTTTTGCTCAAGGCTATCACTCTACCACTTCTGGCTTTCTCTGAATAGTTTAATGGAGATGAGTCTCACGGACTTTTCTGCGTGAGCTAGCTTTGAACTGCAATCCTCACATCTCAGCCTCCCAAGTAGCTAGGATTACGGGTGTGAGCCACCAGCCTTGGCTTTACAGGGCCTATTTATGGCACAGAAATTTTAGTTTAAAATCCAAAATGCTCTGAAAAGTTATTTTTAAGCTCAGTTGCAAACTAAATCCTGATTTGAACACATGAAGCTATTCAGTTCATTTACCAAATTAACTGTGAATATTCTTATTTCATTGCAGAAATAGTAATCCTTAATATCAGTCAATATTAATAATATTAATAAAATATTAATATTGGTCAATGATAATATTAATAAAATATTAATATCAGAATTAAAAAGGAGTGTTATATTTTATAGTTAGTATATAACAGTCCTCAAATCCAAAAATTTTAAATTCCAAACCACATTTGGCCTCCAAAGGTTTCATCTAAAAGGTTCTATGTGTTATTTGTGAACAAATTCATTGTTCTACCTTAATTAGAATTTTACTTTTCAAGTGTAACAAATTAGACAAGAAATGTAATCACTACCTTACTTATGTAACTGTAATCTCTCTGTATATCACCTTGACAATAAAATTTTTTTTAAAATAGAATTTACTTTTCATTTTTATGGCCTAGTTTTATAATTTAGTTTCTAATACCAATGAAAAATTTGTTATCTTAAGATAAACTCTCATTATATGTGTCCAATACATATATGTTTACATTGATATTCGATCTACACAAACAAAACATGAATCTACTTTATTATTAATATGCTATACAACTTATCTCCTTGAATAAGGCTGACACCCTAAATTGATACAATAAGAATTACTTCCATTTGCAACTTCTCTAGTAGCTAGTGAATTTACTCAAAAAAAAAAAAAAAAAACTATAAGTACTTTAACAATCAGGTAACATACTTAAATGATAGTAAAAACTCCCTACCTAAATTACTTACCCCATTTCCTGTTTGACCAGCAACCATGCAGCATGCTTGAAGCAATTTAGCACCCAGAAAGAAAAGGAGAAAAACATTCAGTATTAAATTAAGTTCTAATATTAGTACCCAGTATTTAGCTAATTTGCTAATCAAACTCCCTTTCAGAAGATAGTGTTAGGAATGTTGCAATGATCTCAGATTCATTTCAAATAAAAAACAAGATAAGATTCACTTTGCAATGCTTACTTGCTGTGGCCTAGAAATTCATCTTTACCCTCCCATCCCCCCACCTCTTATAATGACTTTTAACAGAGCTAGTTTAAGATACCTCATTATTTCATAGGGGAAAAGTCCAAAGTGACTAGGTACCTATTACTCAAAACATAAATTGAAGGCACTAGCTTTTTGTTGTTGTTAATAGGGAGACGTATTTTTAACTCTACTTAGTCATAATAGTCACACTTACATGTTCAGGAGTTAAATGTACTAATGCCTCCAGCTCATTTTGATTTACAACCAAAGGTAAAATAGATTGGTGGCTAGATAACTGGATGGTTAGATACATAATAAAGCAAACAGAAAATATTAACAAGCCCTGCATGGTGGTTCAAGCTTATAATCCTAGCTTCTTGGAAAGCCGAGATCAGGGGAATTAGGTTGACGGCATTGCAGGCATAAAATTCATGAGACTCCATCTCAACTAAGTCTGGACACAGTGGTACATGCCTGTTGTCCCAGCTATCAGGCAAGTATAATGGCTTGGTGCAGTGGCAAGAGTCTGTCCTCCTCATTTCTCCATTTTCCATTAGACTCTCACAGCTTTCAAGTTAGAAAACAGTATACACACAGTACAGCACGTGTGAGCATGACAGGAACATGCACATTCAGAAATGTTAGGTGAATTAATGTGTTAAGACTTGAGCTACTCGGGGGCTGGGAAGGTAGCTCAGTGGTAGAGTGCTTGCCTTGCATGCATAAGGCCCTGGGTTCAATTCCTCAGCACCACATAAGCAGAAAAAGCCAAAGTGGCGCTGTGGTTCAAGTGGTAGAGCGCTAGCCTTGAGCTGAAGGGACAGCTGAGGGACAGCGCCCAGGCCCAGAGTTCAAGCCCCATGACTGACCAAAAAAAAAAAAAAGACTTGAGCTACTCATAATAAATTCTTCATTAGCTAAGAACTGTTCCCAATGCCTAATTTGTTATCTGTTTTCTGTCTGCCCCTCAGCTTTCTCCCATTTGTAGTACTGTAGGACTCTTATCTGATTCCATCCACTTATTCAAGTCCTGTTTCATTGTGTGTTGCATGGCATAATACACAAATATGAGGAGTCAGAAAACCTGGCTTCAAGCTTCACTTAATTTCTGGGACTCAATTTTCTAATATGAAAATGTGAGAATTGGGTAAAGATTGTTGTAATGTAAACTTTTCAGGATGGCTAGAGGTCATCATTCATAGACATTTTTTGGTACAGTTTAATAATTAATACAATTAAGACTAATAGGACTTTGAGGTCACAGAAACAGTAAGTATGGTGTCTTAAGTACGGTGTCTCAAAGCTGAAGCCTTGGGCTGGGATGTAGCTCAGTGTCAAAATGCTTGCCTAGCAAGTTCAACTTCCTGGGTTCGATCCCCAGTACCAAAAAAGAAAAGACAAAAAAAAGTGCAGTTAAAAAAAAAAAAAGCTGAAACCTTTTAGTTAATGTTGTCCCATCCTTCCTTCAGCCTCATTTTTAAGAGACCAAGAAACACTGACCTCTGACTCATACAGGAAAACTAACACTTCCCTTACAGGGAAGAGTTTTAATATCCTCTTAATGTAAGAGGATATAAAGGAATTATGTACACAAGGAACCCAAATTATTGGCATGTACTTAATAAATGGTAACCATTATTTCTGTTCACTGAAAACTTGCCATCTGTACTTTGCAATCTGTTATCTGAGGAAGGGGAGGGAGAGAGAAAGAGAGAGAGAGAGAGAGAGAGAGTGTTCTGGAATCTCCCTCATCATTTTTTTTTTTTTTTTTTTTTTTTGCCAGTCCTGGGGCTTGAACTCAGGTACTAAGTGCTGTCCCTGAACTTCTTTTGCTCAAGGTCACCAAGATAATTTTAATAAATGTTATGTTCCTGTGTCAGTGGGAAAAAAAGTTCGTTCTCTAGAGTAAGCAATTAAATTCTTCCTCCCAATAGAACCAAGAGGCTCTAACACTTGAACCATAGTGCTGCTTTTGTCTTTTTCCGAGTAATTTATTGGAGAAGAGTCTCACAGACTTTCCTGCCCTTATGGGATTTGAACCACAGCCCTTAGATCTTAACCTTCTAAGTAGCTAGGATTACAGCATGAGCCACTAAAGCCGCAGCACAACTACCTTTCTGAAGGAACTTCAAATGCCTTTGTACTTTTTTGGCCGTTCTGGGGTTTGAACTCATGGCCTCACACCTGCTGAGCAGGTGTCTAGCCTGCTCATTATGTCCAGCCTGATCTGGACTACAATCCTCCTATTTGTGTTTCCCTTTGTTGCTAGGATGACAGGCGCAAGCCACTGTGCCCAGGCATTGGTTGAAATGTACTCTCACCAACTTTCATGGCCAGGATGGCCTCAAACCACCACCACTTGATCTTTGCTTCTCAAGTAGCTGGGATTACAGGCCTAAGCCACTGTGCCTGGCTCTTCTAGGCGTTTTTATATGCTTTTGTTTCTTCTTTTGAGGCAAACTTTTAAAGGTGATGTGATCAAGAGTGCAACATATCCTACCATTCTGATTACAAAGTAGGGCAGAACTGGAGGTTGCCAAGGGAAACCAGATAACTACATGTAATGTGGAATAAAATTGAATGTCTTCAATACCTGAGACTTGCTACAGGGTTTTTCTTTGCTAATCCTCTGCAGGCTTCCTACTCAGGAATGCCAGCGGGCTGGAAAGAACTAATCACACAGCATGGGCTAGGCGGCTGAATCCCAAAGAAGTCGGTATTGCTCAATTATTCAATTTTTACCTCATGCTAACAATGCCTTGGACCTGCTTCTGCCAAGAAAAAGAGATGTATTTCTCTCTTTCAGGTCACCAAGATAATTTTAATAAATGTTCTATTCCTTTATCAGTGGAAAAAAAATTGTTCTCCAGAGTAAGCAATTAAATTCTTCCTCCCAATAGAACCAAAAGGCATTAAAATTATACAGTTTAATCAAATTTTATACCAGAGGCAGTATGTCACCTCCTGAAAATTCTAGAACCACAAAATTTAATCTGGATTCTGCCTTTACTTGAAAATTCTGGGCAAGTCCTAAGTGGGGCAATTGAAAAACTGCTAAGATATACTCTGGTAACACCAAGACAGACAGACAGACAGACAGACAGACAGACAGACAGACACACACACACACACACACACACACACACACACACACACACACACACACACACACACAACAAGAAGCTCTCTTGAATTTAGGATTGTTTTTTCTTCCTTTTTTGTGGTTTTTTTTTTTTTTTTTGGTCCTGGCACTTGAACTCCAGGCATGAGCATGTTCCTGAGCTTCTTTGTGCTCAGGAGGTTAGTGCTCTACCACTTGAGCCACAGCACCACTTCCATCTTTGAATTTAGAATTCTAAGCTGAAAGATTATCTACCACCAAACAACACGAATAGATGATAGTGTGACCAGACATACATAAAGAGTATCAGTGCTTGATTTGGGGGGAGGGGGGAAAGGGAAGGATGGGAAGGGATGGGAAAGGGAAACAAAGGAGGAGGCTACAATGCTTGATAAGAAATGTACTCATTATCTTGCCCATGTAATTGTAACCCCTCTGTACAGTATTTTCACAATAAAAAAAAAAAAAGAGTATCAGTGCTGATAGGAAGGGCTGATGCAGGTGGGAACATTTAAAATAACAGGTTGGGAGACTACTAGTGAGTAAAGTTGAAGTTTAGATTACACGTGCATGTGTATACATGAGGATAGAAGTTCAACAATTACAGATGAAATGCTTTGGGAAGGTCATATATCAAATTAGGGCAAGAACCCCCAAACTGGAACCGTAAAATAGAAGTGACACATTATGTATATACAAAGCCCATGGCAGCACAGAGAAGTAACATTCCTTGATCTCCAAGTCATGAAGTCTTAACATAGACATCCTCATACTACTATTATCTTATGTAGCAGTGTAGGAGGAAGATAAAGTGTTATTTGTACCAAACTTTTTTTTAATTAAAATTAGTGTATATTGCTGGGCACTGGTGGCTCAGGCCTGTAATCCTAGCTACTCAGGATGCTGAGACCTGAGGATCACAGCTCAAAGCCAGCCCAGGCAGGAAAGTCCATGAGACTCTTATCTCCAATTAACCACCAGAAAACCAAAAGTGGCACTGTGGCTCAAGTGGTAGAGCTCTAGCCTTGAGCTGAAGAGCTGAGGGACAGCGCCCAAGCCCAGAGTTAAATCCCCACGACTAAAAAAAAAAAAGTGTATATTAATCATACAAAGGGATTTCCATATATGTATGAAACATATTTTCATATTCATTCCATATCTTTTTCTATTTCCTCCTCCCTCCAAAAAGTTCTTTCTCTTAGCTTGAGAAAGTCCTAAGTTCCAGAAAAGAGAATAACATTTTAATATACCAGCTCACTTTTTTGTTTGTTTGGTGCCAGTCCTAGGGCTTGAACTCAAAAAGAGCCTGGGCACCAACCCCGAGCTGTTTCACTCAAAACTTGTGCTCTACACTTGAGCCACAATTCCATTTCAAGCTGGTTAATTAGAGATAAGTCTCACAGACTTTCCTGACAGGGGCTTTGAACCCAAATTCTCAGATCTCAGCTTACAGCACGAGCCCCTAGTGCCCAGCATATTTTTCTCATTTTTATTTCTTATCTAGCCTTTACAGACAATTGAGTATATAATCCCTGATAGAAGAAAACAAGTACTTGGCCAAAAGGCAGACTGTCTCTAAAATATGGTGTCATCTTTGTAGTTTACCTCTCTGGGCCTTAATTTTTCAACTTAAAGAAAAGATTTAATACTTAATTATATTGGGGTACTACCTGCATGGTA